CACAAGACCTATGAACCATAAATAGTAAGTGTCACGTGCAACGTAAACTGTCACGTGACCATGAAGCGCTGAAACCGTAACAGGATAACTATGTCTAATGATACATAATGGGTCATGTCGCCATCTCGGTTGGGGGTCCCATCCGCGTTGAACACTCGAAGTGGTCGATTGAATGGTATCTTAGGTATCTGAAACTTAGATACGAACTGTTCGTCGATGCAACATCTGGTGCAACCTGAATCCAGAAGGGCTTTGACGGGTATATTCCTATCCCCAACTTCTATTGTTACAGGTATATCGATCTGGCGATGTCGTCGTACTGCACGGATGTTGAATTGTCCTCGCAGTTCAGTTTCGGTCGATCCGAAGCCAGCAGTCCCTCTTGCTGTTTCTGCTATTTCCGTTACGACTTCGGTAATGGGGGTATTGTTTCGTTCCAAGATTAGCTGGGCAACTCGGTCCCCATACTCAATCTGGAACGGGGTATCAAGGGTATTGATTAGGAGTATTTTGACTCGACCGACATAGTCGGAGTCTACTACCCCGGCTCCTACATCTATTCCATGTTTTACAGCCAAGCCTGAGCATGGAGCGATGCATCCGTAGCATCCGCTGGGTATCATCAACTTCAGGCCGGTATCTACGAGAAGACGGGAGCATCCGGGAATGACCACCTCCTCCGCTGAATGCAGATCGTACCCTGCTGTGCCTTCTGTTTGACGGGTGGGTACGATGGCTTGCGGGTGGTCTAAAAATACACGCAAGGTGGTTTCTGTGCCTTTCTCTTCGGTGTACGCTTTGCCGATGTCGAAGCTTCCACTTGCAAACTGTCCGTGTTCTGAAATGAAGAAATGTTAGAATTTGAGCTATTCACGGAATTAAGCACCGATGCTTTTTGATCCGGCCGAGCTCGATCAGGCACCGCTAAGGTCCCGTCATCCCGAGACCCCGTTTTCGCTCCTACTACTGTTACATTAAAGTGGGTACCACTACTTGTACCCATATTGTCCGACGTAGTGCTACTGGTACAGTTGATAGAAGAAAGAATAGAAAATCGAGATCCGCTAGGGAGTGGTGGTGTGCTGCCGTCTGCGTCAGGGGTACTGAATTTTCCCATTCCTGAGCTTAGGCCCTCCTGCCCACATCCCTCCAGGGTGTTTTCAGGTACGGCTTGATGGCGCTTCTCAGGCTTTGCCTCCACCACCATCAGCTCGACTCTCCCTGGGGACCTACCTTTTGGTGACCCGTCTAAACCATGGTCCTTCTCAGGTCTCACGACCTCTGTAACCATGGAATGGCCGTTAATGGTCAAGGGTGACCCGTGTAAACCAAGGCTCTTCTCAGGCTTTTGGGCCTCCGTGACCAAGGAATGCACGTTGTTGGTCGGGGAAAATGAAACTGTCCGGTTCGAGTCGAGAGTCCTGCAAGACTTGCGTACTTAAGCCTTGCCGAATTGAAAACCCGCCTGGTTGAGCAGAGCGGGGTTGGCCGCGATGGCCGCCTTGAACGCTCGTACGGCCTCGGTTTCTTCTACCGTACTGGCACGAGCTGCAGGCTGGGCATCCTTTTTGCGCCAGCACTGCCCCTTTCCGTCGTAGTAATGGGTGTGCCATATATCTGTGCATGACCCCTTTTCTGACCTCTCCTTTCCACAGGTTCAACACTTCCGGTGTTTGTCGCGTTCATTTTCGACGCCCACCGTTTCCTTGTGTGGCACCGCTTTTCCTGCCTCATCGATGTTTCTGATGGGCGCCCTTCCCGTTGTCCTGACTGCGTTGACCGTTGCCGTTGTCGAACCTTTCTCTTAATGGACTTGTCGGGTTTTGGAGTCCTTGGCTTTCCCCTTGCCCTTTCGGTCCTCGAAGGTGGATGCCCACTGCTGCTGCTGTTGAAGGTCTAGCCGAGCTGCAACCTGTTTCCACAGGCTGTAGCTATTGACGTCCCGGCTAATACCTTCGGACGCCCATACTCTGTCGCAGAGCTCTTTTCTCGTGGCCGTCCTAAGTAATTGGAGCAGCAACTGCTCATCCCTGTACCCCGAGACCTTGACCCAATGTTCCCATTTGGCTTCAAATTCTTCCCAAGGCTTGTACCTTTGCTGCATAGTGCGCAGCATTCGCTGACCTTCCAGTTCTGGGTTCGCAGGGTAGTACATTTTCTTGAAGTCTGCGATGAAGTCCTGGAGTGTGGCATAGACTGGGGGACCTCCCATCATTCTTTCCAATAGGGAGGCCTTCCAGTGGTTGATCTGTGGCCCTCGAATGTACGACATTGCCCAGCGAATTTTACTTTGTTCGTCTTCGAACTCGCTGGGCTTCATGACGATGTAGTTCATTACATCGACAAGCCATGCCTTTGCCTTGATTTTTGTTCCATCGAATGGCTCCGGGAGGTTGACCTTGGGCCCTCGGAATGACTTTCGGTGAACTTCGTCCGAGGATGCCGGTGGCGGGGCTGCGGAGCGACGGTCCCGATCTGGTGGTGGGACCGGTTGTTTCGGAGGGAATGCGTAACGTGCCCCTGCCAACTCGTCGTCTTGATCTCCCTCGTAGGAGTGTGCCGGGGACATTGGGGGCGTCTGCACCCTAGGGGATGGCTGCTCAGGGTTTGCCTGGTGTGCCGGTTTGAGTCCGCTAGGGCCAGCGGGTCCGCTGACTCCCTTTACCCAATCCCGAATATCCTGTTGACCAGGATCCTGTTTCCTCTTCCCCTTATCAACCGGTTTCTTGGGCGATTGGAAGGGGGAAGGGGGCAGTGGACACGTCATGGCTTCCAGGAGGTTGATCCAGGTTTCCTGGGTCTTATTGATTCCTTCTAGACCCTCCACCCTTTCCTCACTGGATTTGAGCGCCTTTTTGAGGGCTTCCAGTTCCATGGTTAGCTTATGGATCTGGTTGTCCCACTCCGTTGCTGCTGCGGTTCCCTCATTGATTTGTCTCATGAGGCGATCTCGAGTTGCTTCAGCAGCCAGGTGCCCTTCCCGTGCTTCTGTTACCTCCCTTCGCGCAACATCGAGTCGGCTGCGAAGATGATTGTAGTCATTCTGGAGGTGTTCGTAAGCCCGCCGCATGTCCACAGGTTGAGTCCAGAATCTGGGGGTTTCCTCGGTCGGTGGGGGTAGTCCCGGTCACGCCATGTAGTAACTCTGCCTATTGTTGGGGAACCTGTATCGTTCGTATCCCGGCGGAGTTCCCGAAGCGTGGCTCGACCAAACGTAGTCTTGTCCCCTGGCCGCCCCTCCATGCCTTGCCACCACATCTACTGGTTGTGATCGATACCGAGCCCGATCTTCTTTGGAATGGTCACGAGCTCGGATATCGTATTCCCATGGATGGAAGCGTCTCCCTGTCCTTTGTTCATTGGGGTACAGGGTGGTGAATTCATCTACTAGCCTTGCTGAAGGCCCCCTTCTCCGGGGTAACGCTTCCAGCATTGCTGGCATCATGAAGTATCGGGGTGTGGGGGCGAGGATGTTGGTGTTATTAAATGAGGATGGAGTGGATGCCCTAGGTTCCGGACCTTCAGGATTTAGGTGTCCTTCCACGAAATGTTCAGATTGTGCTATGCCAGCCATCTTCAGTGTCGGTACTTGGTTGGGGTTTTGGCGACCTGTTCAGAAAGGTTCTTCTTTGTCGGAGGAGATACCGTATTCTTCGTCGAACAGGAGATGATATAGCTCCTGGTCGTCTTCTACTGGATGTAGAGGTCTGTAGGCTTCCTGGACTATACGGTGCAGCTGGTACTCGAGCCTTTCGTAATAGTCGATGACGACCTGATAGCGGTATAGGATGAGACGAGCCTGGGTGACGTGAGGTTGGTAGATGAAGTCCGCCCGAAAGATGATGCTGATGTGCTCGTAGATCTGATCCCACTCCACTGGTCCTGGTGATACGGTGTATATAGATGTGTAATCCTCCAACGAGAACCTTTGCATTCGATGTTGTAATCTACTCGCGTGCTTGTCGAGTTGTTCTTCACTAGGCCTCGTAATGACCCAGACGCAGCTTTAGAGTCCTGCTACTCCTAGTAGGTCTAGTTACTACGGAGTCCTGAATGGCGCGGTTCGCAGTCGCAGAGGGGTCTTTGTGGTCTTTGATTATTTCACCACCAGTGTCCAACTACCTCTGAAGGGATGTAACCTTGGTCCACCTGCCTTTCCAGCAGAGTTTTCCGAGAGTTCGTCCCATGCCAAACGACTATTTGTCTACGTATGTGCTGGTAACTAAACCCCTAAGTAAGTCAGAACTGTGCAGGGGTTGAATACGCGTCTGGTGCCTCTTTAGCACTGAGCAAGTAGGTTTATTCCCTCGCTACTCGAGGTTGTGCAGGTCTCGCCGAAGCAGTCCAGAAGTGTTGCTGATTTACAGCTTCAGGGCCTTTTCAAAGGTGTCCTGTTCCTCCCGCAAGTTCTCCCTTGTCTGCGGTTGTTACGTCTGCTGCCCCTAGACCTGGTGGCTAGGATGGCGACATTAGAGGATAAATCCCCCGTATAGCACAGCAGCTAGGCCGAGGATAGTTTATGTGGACTAGCAGAACTGAACGTCAGATTACCCCGCTGGTCAGTCCAATACAGGAGCTGCCTCGTTGCTGCGGTGTACTCGATATCGGTACCCTTTTAAGGAGCACTGCGTCCTTTCCCCTAGAGGTGCTGACGTCAACAGGCACTCCTGGCCCTTCTTGACAGCCTTAATGCGGTTTTAACCACTAGGTTTGTGTAGGAAATCCCCTTACGCCTGGGGTCGCGGCAATGTTTGGGACTGTAGTATGTCACCCACTTTCGCAGGAGGCTGGTTTAGGGCCTATGTATCCTGACTGACAATCCGCGTATTCGCTTCACCGAAGAGGTTCAGCAGGGCGCAGCTAAGCCCGAGGAAAGTGGGAAGAACCCTGACTGGATACGATGAGGATGGAGTTGATCGACAGTGAGAAGATAGTCTGAGGCGTCGACCGGTGCCCACAGACTAAAGAGAGCAGTTTCGAGTTATGTGAAGGATCTCAGGAACTTCTGGGTCCTCTCTCGCCTAACCCGCCAGGGTTCTTTAGCTTAAGTGGAGGAGTAAAGACCAACTCGAAACTGAGGGGTAGGCCTCAGCTCGAG